GCATCTTCTCTTATGTAAAGATGTCCTAACTCCTGAGATATTCTATAGTGTGTAATCCTTTTCATGATACTAGGCCTCTAGAGGCCACCCAGAGGAGCTATTGTAGTCCCCGTGCACTACAGTGAGGCTGGTGCGGTGACTCAGATGCTGACCCTCAACGAGGGTCAGGATCAGTTATTCTTCTGAGGATTTCCTTCAGGAAGAAATCATGAACTCGAATGCTTTTTGAATAGTTAATTGATATTCTAGTGAGAATAGCGAGAATTACGAGTTTAGATTCTTAGTAGCAGTGTGTGCGCTTAGCCACGTAGCTTAGGGTTCATACGTAGTGACAGCAAAGGGTCGCTGCGCACTACAGTTTATGCACTCCGTCATGATAGCCCCATAAAGAAACAACAGCAGCGGCATTTGATATATGTGATATTGATGAACTGCAGGGAACGATATTGAAAAATATTGAGCACTAAGGAGCTCCCACAGGGCCAGACCCCCTGGATGCCCAACGCCGTGCACCAAAGTAATTCCGGGCCCAACTTTATGGCTTGCTCCTACGTAAAGGCGCACTTCGAAGCTTCCACACCTCGGGACGCTCTCAAACCCAATGAAAAGAAAAGGCCAAGTCAACCAGGGGAACATCCCCTATGAACAATGATTTGAAGAGCCTTAACAAAATTAAGGGGAAGCATAAGTCTACGATGCAAAGGAACGACGAAGTACTAGTGCTGTTTCCGGCGATTGCGTGATCGTTATTTGACAACGCTGACGCATTTCTCCGTATCCTTCTGCATCCCAACCAACGGTAGCAGACTGCGATTTGCAATCACAGTCGCAGACTGAAATAGGTCTGCCTGCTGCATGAAGTTATGAACGCATCTGCCGCACTGCATACTCAAGTGAATCACAAATTAGTGGGCCCAACACGTGAGAGGCGGATGGTGGCAGAATTGTATGACATTCCCGTGATCAACAGCCTTGCGCAGAAATGCCTGCAGCGACAGCGTCGCGTGCTGCAGTTGCGACGCTTAAGGCTGTAGTTTCCAAAAGCACAGAAAGATTCGTTTTATGCAAACAAATAGGTTCGTTGTCATTTTGCATCCGGAGCCGGAGTTGAGTTGAATCAGGGGAGGAGACTGGCAAGCAGGACGCGTACAGCTCGTCCAAGGAGAAATAACGTATTTCCACGCAGACCAGAAAGGAACAATACAACAATCTAAGACCCCACTAGAGATCCCCTGGAGTGCTCGCACATTCCCCACCTACGTTTCCACAAGCCGATGCTCGTGGCACAAGGATGCATAGGTGATATTTCAGCGAACTAGCCTCTACACAAAAACACCGGAAAGTCTGCGCAGATCGTTTCAGCGGAAGGCAGCACATCTACGCGGTAAGTGAAAAGGAGCTGTATGCAGTCTGGCCTGGAGTAAGAAAGTGTCGGCACTACGCATGTTGTACGTCGTGCTGTACACCGTGTCCCAACAATGATATACGTGACGAAGAGCTGTAATGACTTCAACAACAAAATATTCGTTCGGTGTCTTCAGCGGCCCATGCAGCGGGACTTTGCAATCAGGTTTACCAATGGTATCACTAATATTGTCGCTGACGCGCACTTACTCCCCCGACGCTCGATTGGCTAGGCCTCGTGTCCCGCAACGTCACTTGGTTTCGGTTATTATTGCTCTCTTTCTCAATTTCTGTCAACTTACTCCTTAGAGTTCTCACGCTGCTGCAGTTCTTGTAAAGCTCAGCAACGGAAGACAGGTGCAGCAGTCCTGGATAAGGGGAAATCTGTATTGGCTCTAGAGTAAGAGTTGGCACCGCTGATTGTACGTTGTAGCTTATTTTCATACACTGAAACTGGCAATCAGTTCTTTCTGGTGGCCCATGCTGCGCCAATCAGAAGATAAGTATCTCAGTGATTCTCGCGAACGAAGGCATCTAGTGCCAAGGAACATTAGCAAACCCGTATCCTTGAAGTGTTCGCCGACAGATGTTGATGGATACAGCAACTGCTTTCATAGTTTTATCAGTAGCCAAATGCTCTGATAGCATGTTGCTTTCTAGATAAGCCCAGCAAGAATGCCTGAATTTGCATAGAGGGTGAAGTAGAGATCAGTCACAGGAGAGAGAATGACATCGCTACTCACTAATTATGTATCATCGATCCCCCAGCGGTGTCACTTTCGACAGGATCGCACGTCTGGCAGTAGGCTCGGACGGCAATTCATGAAGCCGCTCAACGTCAGTCGCGATCACCGTGAAGTATCCAGTGGCTTGCAGTCAAGGGCTGTTCAAAACCCCGAAGTCGGATGTAGAAATTTCCGTCTTAACCAGCTGTAGATGGCATTCTTCTTTGTGGCCACGGTTCAACGATTTGGATTGGTTACCTTGCGAGTGCACCCGTCAAGTGGAGATGCCGTCCTTCCATAATCGTCAGCTCTGTAAACGGTTCAGCAATTCATCGATATATCCTGGAAAGTTTTCGCGAAACGGCAGCTAGGCCATTGTTGAATGGATCAAGAGCAGAGTGACACCCGGGACATATATGCATCAACGGGTAGAGGCCGTAAAACGGGAATAGTGCATCGAATGACCGCAGAGCCAGCAGCCCGTGTCGATCTCTGAGGATCCCATGATAGGGAAAATTCTTCTGGTGCTCCTCAGTGCTTTCTTTGCAACGACGTGGAGATTAACGACGCGGCGTATTCTCACGCTTGCTACAGCAATTGCACTCGTTGCTTTCGCAAGTGTATAGGGGGGTCCATAACTTTACACGTGCGTGACTTTCTGCTCGATGGTGTTGGAGAGCCACTGGTTACCGTTCTGGGCAACCGCTTGTGGGGCTGAGGTACACTGACGAGGACCCTGAGATATCCAGCTCCCCACTATATTTATTAGACTTGGGCCAGTTTCTCATTTGGAGTGCAGGTGAAGGAAAGTTATATGAACAGCCAACCCTACTTGTTAGAGTACAAACGGTGTGAAACTACTTACATATGCAGTGCCACACTCCGGGCTTGCTATGACATCGCTGTAGCTTGCCACTATGCTTGCAACGAATATCTCTATAACGCATCAAAGTCTCGCGTTGTGCACTCATATCGTTCTTTGCTGGGTAGCATCAGTGGTTGCCAGCATAAAGGCTCTGTTGCGCCATATGCAGTTCCTGAACGTCTTGTAGTTAAAAGCCAGTTTTCTGCTAGGCGTAATGCAACGGCTAACCTATGCATATGTCACGATCCAGTTAGCGCGTTTTTAAACTCGGCATGAAGACTGTGTGCTTAAGCGCTACACTGCAACTGTCTGCTTACTTTTGCATAGCACCTGCACTTTACGTTCTTTGGTGCAAAGGCTTCACGCTGGAGCCACTAAAAACAATTAGATTTATACCTGCGTGCACGATTTTCGAAGAAAAGGAGGGCAAGCCTTGGACAAGCCTCCAAACATGCACAGACGCCACATTTTTATGTGGCCAGGACTGCATCGGTCCTCACTCCAGCAAAAGGCCACGATGCAAAAAGATGATGGCTGAAGATATTCTACCGCCTTTCCTAGACNGGTCTCTCCTGCATTCCAACTGACCTATCCCAAAGCTGCATATCAAGAGGTAAGTGCCGATCGATGGAAAAGTCAGCCGGATGAAAGGGCCGGAGCATTTTGATGGAAGAGAGTGTAAGAGCTCAGGCAACGGTACTCAATGTGGGGTAAGCGGTTGAGGATATCTTCCTGGGCAAGGGTTTGGTTAAGGTCAGACGAGAAGTAGTAGAGAATAAGGGAGACCAGAGGTATCTCGGTCATCTGCACCATCAGAGTTAGCTCATCAGCCTCCGTCACGTCAGCTGAAACGCAGTCATCGTGGAACGTAGCACGGAGCACACTTTACGCTACCATTCGGAGAAGTTCCGGAGCAAGTGCGCCCTTGTGGAAGTTTAAAGCACCATCAATTGGAAGAAATACATTTAGTGCTGGCTGCCCAGAGAGGCACAAGCAGCAAGCAGAGGTAGCTTCATTGGCCAAGGCACGTAACAAAGGCTACAACTCAAAGCTTAGGCGTCAGTCTTGTCAGCAGATATTTCGATGCAGTAGAGCCAGCTAAAGAGGCTTAGGGTTACGTGATCTCTGGCAGTGTACCCGTCGATATGTGCAAAGTAGTGGACCAATGAAGTCCGATGTGCTCAGGAAAACAGATGAAAACGGGGCGCTCGCGAAAAACGTCTTCCCCTCGGAATATTGCCTGGGAAAGTTACACAAGCCTTTGCAACCAGCATAACTTAGTCTTGGGGCCCTGTATCCCCTCATATGAGATGCTAAAATGCACAGTGTTCCCAGGATGTTCTGTTTGTTGAATGATGATGCTTCTGACACTTCCGTGTCCAATTTCTGTGTTCTAAACAGAGAATCAACTAATATGAAAATGCTTACTAAGGCTTGAGCGTAGGTAAAGTCTGCATGAAGCTTTTAGGTACAAACAATTACAATATGCTCACCTGCCAAGCAAAAAGGGCTGCAGGGAACCTCTTGATGCACGCTGGCTGCCCAGGGGTCCTGTCAACGGCTGACTCGTAGACAATCCGTAGTTTGTTTTCAGCCCCTGAACAAGACAATATATGTGCTGGGCGTAAGTGCGGTTTATTCCGGGAAGACGCTCTTCTCGTTTGGCAATACACAGCGAAAGGTTACTCACCAACATCGAGGCGAACACTCCAATCAAAGTATGTCCCACACACGAATTTCGCCGGTAGTGACTCTCTCAGCGCAATCTTTAAATTGCTAATGCGCCATTGAGCTGCGCTTAGCAAATCTGAGAGCGAAAAACAACAGGAAAACACGTATGTGAAACGCCGCCTAGTTGCAAAAGGCGCTCACAGTACAGGCAAGGCAGGTTGCGAGCAACGGTAGTCAGTGGCATCTCTTGAGAAAGCACCCCGCCAGCGGATACTGCAGCGACGCATACATGACGTGGAAGAGCGTCCCAAACTATGCCTCGTAGAACTGAGTACAAACGTTGTATGGCTAACTGGATTCGNGTGTGTCTTCATCACGAAAAATGGAGAGAGCTCCTGGTTCAACAGCCCAGTCCCACAACTTGCAGTCTCTCAACAGATCGCAAGCTGTGTCGAATGAGCTCCAGTCGACAACGAATCGAACGATCAAATCTGTATCCCTGTTGTTGTCACAGCGCCTGCAGAGCTCCCTAACCATGTAAACGATTTGGTTGCGCGGCATCTGCAGCAGTTGCTGCCGAGAAGAAGGCGCTCGAACGACGTCGGCGAAACGCTTGACAATGTACCCGCATACTTGACGAGACAGTTCTTTATGGTGAGCTACTTCATCGTGAGTCAAAATACGCGCGCAGTTCTGGACGGAGAGCTGGTCCACTATAAGGGATAGGCAGTCATCTATGCTAAGACAATTAACTTCCAGGTTCCTGGCCTCAGCTAACACCTGCACAGAGAAAATTAACCGATAAAAGGAAACGCGCATTACTGTGTGCAACTCCTCATGTTTACAATATCTCTCAATCCAGCAAATCAGCCAGCAAGTATTATCTGGGTCGACTTTAGACGCCTTCAATTGACATGCTGAGCGTAGAATGAAGAAGCATGGCAGCAGAATATGCCGTTGGCACGCTTCATCAAAGACTGCCCACTTCTGCAGAAGGGTTCGAGCAGGGGCTTGATGTACCTCTAGGATGATTTCTGGATCCGTGCCTCCTTCAATGTCTGCGCCATACATGCAGCGTACAAGCTGATGCACAACCGGCCAGCGCTGCTGAAATTCAATCCGTTTGGCGGTTTCTGGACCACAAAAGAGCCGCTTGAAGTATTCGCTGCACGCTGCCAGGACACACTGGTGAGCGCGTAGCTCCTGCAAGGACAAAACACGTGTCAAAGGGTATTATGGTGTGCGTATCGCACGCGTTCCTCAGCGCAGCCACATTTGTGAAGTCAATCTAATTTAAACAGCTGCTCGCACAGGCCTACAAATCGATAGAAACGTTAAGTTCCGGACATTATGATGTGGCGTTCCCGGGCAATTCCCTCCAAAACTTCAATACGCTATACAACCTACGTTAGCACGTTTAAGATATCCACCGCTTAGTTGGCAAGTGCAGAACGTTACACATACTGTTCTACGTGGCCGTGCCTATACTTTCTATCCACTGCTTGCTTTTAGAGAGAACAGACGGTACACAAGGAAGCTACGACGTCTCTAGAGGCCGAAGGTGCACCACAGAGCCCCTATGAGCGAACTCTAACAGCTCCAAGCCAGCAGAGGGCTGGTCTCAAAGCTGCGGAACACTTGCTTCAGTGCACAGCTGACTCGTAGATTGTCTATGGGCTACGCTGTGGATGAAAAACTCACGCGATTTTCGGCCACAATAACCACATCAAAAAGAGCTTCGTATGAAGGGTCAGCCAAAAGAGCAAAAATGTTTTGCTGGAAAATGCGCAGACGTCCGTATTGATTTGTTTGTTTCCGCTGCCTTTCTGCAGAACCACCGACGTCCGGCCCGCAAGGAATTCCTTGA